TTTAATGCTAATAAATTGTTACCTGCGGAGTGGGGGGAAAAAAACAACCCTTTTTTTCTTTTTAACCAACAGAGCAATGATGGAGAAGAACGCTTAGCTGTTGTAAGGCTTTTAGCAAAGTTATTTGGTTCCAAAGATTCGGACCTTGCAACGCAAAATCGTCCACTTTGGCAGTGTTTTCTTGGACGGTGAGAAATTCACCTGTATATATATATATTTGGTTGGGTTGATTTTAGCCATTCTTTTTCTGTAATACTTTTTTTTAAAAAAAGAAAACTTTACTTGTTCTTAAAAGCCCTGTGTAAAATTTGTAATACAGAAAATACTCTGTGTATTTACTGTATTACGGTAAATGACATTCATGTAGTGTATTTTGAAATTGAAATGCCATCTATCATTTCCCTGTTTTAGCCAAATAGAAGATTTTTTTTCTTGGATATTCAGTATGTTGGATTATATCAGGGGGTCTTCAAACTTGGCCCTTTTATGACTTGTGGACTTCAACTCCCAGAATTCCTCAGCCAGCGATGCTGGCTGAGGAATTCTGGGAGTTGAAGTCCACAAGTCATAAAAGGGCCAAGTTTGAAGACCCCTGGATTATATATTTGCGGTATGTTGCTTTCAGAAAGCACACTTTCATACAAGCCTATTTAGCTTATTGCATTCATCACTGGAGCTGAATATAATTTTGGATTCATTTATTCCTCTCTTCTAGATTCAATGATATTCACGTTCCTGTGAGATTGGAAAGTGTAAAATTTGCAAGTCATTGTTTAATGAACCACCCAGATTTAGCGAAGGATCTGACTGGTAAGATATCTTAATTCAGAAGAACTGGAGAGAAAAAAAGCAGAAGGATAACAGATTCAAACAAATAACGTGGAGATGCAGCCGTGGTTTGATAATAATCAAAGTATTGTTGATTATGAGGCTGAAAAGGCATGTTGGAAGTATATTTCTCCATAGAAAGAATAGGAAACGTTATGCTGTTTAAATCTTGCATCGCCCAACGTATAAAATAAGAGGAAATGTTTTATCAATCCGTTTGTGAAATACAATCAAATTATGAGCTCAGTACAGCAGCCTTTCTACAAACCAGATCTCCCGTTGTCATTCTTTATTAGTTGCTTGCCTACTTAACTTTATAAGTATATAATAATAATAATAATAATAATAATAATAATAATAATAATAATATAATAATAATAATAATAATAATAATAATAATAATAATAATAATAATAATATCCTGCGACGATATCTGTAATACCGTCAAACATCCACATCTGCCTATCCCAGGTCCTGGGTAAGGACTCGATAGGTAGACGAAATGCCAAATCCAGTCTGAACATCTGGCTGACTGTGCGATGATCCATAATAATAATAATAATAATAATAATAATAATAATAATAATAATAATAATAATAATAATAATAATAATAAAAGTTGGAAGGGACCTTCAAAATCTAAGGGACTGGTTTGAACAAAACTCAGCAGCACTTTTTCGTGCAGCTGCTGATAAAAACAGGATCGCCAACAGGATCGCCAGCGTCCGATAACGGATATGGCAGAAGAAGGAGGAGGAGGAGGGGGTGAGGAGGAGGAGACCTTGGAGGTCATCTAGTCCAACCCCCTGCTCAGGCAGGAAACCCTATGCCATTTCAGACAAACGGCTGTCCATTTCTTGAACTGATACTTAGAAACAGGTTTTGTTGACGATGTGTTGTTCCGCTTCGTACCTCATAATTTTAATATTCCTAAAGGCTTTGCTCTGTAGTTGCAGGTGCCTGAACACGTCGTATTTTTTTGTGTGTGTGGAAGTTAACATGCTTTTCTTTTTTGAAACCAGAGTACTTAAAAGTGAGATCCCACGATCCGGAAGAAGCCATCCGCCATGACGTCATTGTCACAATCATCACTGCGGGCAAACGAGATCTTTCTTTAGTCAACGACCAGCTCCTGGGTTTTGTCAGAGAAAGGACACTGGATAAGCGGGTAAAATGGCCTGCGTCTTATCATTTCAGCATCAGAGACTCCCCAGATGTCCTGAGGGTGTGGGTGGGGGAAAAAAAACGGCATGCTTTTGTGTTATAAATGAAAGGCAGATTGGAACCGAGAGCCCAGTTGCCAGCGTCCCCTTTGATCTGAGTATAAAAATCGACGAGATGTTTTATGTTGACAAAGACAAAACCCGACATTTCTTGTTCGGGAGTCTGCTCTGCGTACGTGAGATCATTTCCTACCACCGCTGCGGTGTGTTTTTTGCAAAATAAAAATGGTTTCCCCAAAATTTGGGGCAGCTGCTACCAGCCGCGCGATAATTGCATCAATTTTTATCATTTAAAAATTGCAATCTCAGTGGTCTGTGGAGATTCTCAGCCATCCAAGCGACGGTCGTCCCGAAGGTGCTTTTTCAAAAGGCGACTGGAGTTTCTTGTCTTGTTGTTTTGTTTTCTTCCTTGAAGACGTTTCGCTTCTCGTTCGAGAAGCTTGTTCAGTTCTGGAAGAAGCTTCTGGGATGAGAAGCGAAACATCTTCAAGGAAAAACCAAGGAAGATCCAAGTGCCTTTGGAAAAAGCCCCTTTGGGACAACCTCAATTGCCGATATATTTTTTACTAGCTGAACCCCGGCCACGCATTGCTGTGGCTCTCGTTCACTCAGCCAACAGATGGCGCTGTTTTTCAAAACATGTGTTTACCTGTCACAGGTGTGACGTCTATATAATAGTAGGTATATAAAAACACGCGCGTATTCGAATGCAACGTTGTGTCAAAATTTCAAAGCAGTCGGTGAACTTTTGGAGATGTAAGATTTTGAACAAACGAACATTTACATTTTTATTTATATATAAGAAGATAATGCCTTTAACATAAAGAGGGTTGACTTTTCTGTGGCGACACAAGCTACAACTTTTCTAACCTGTTCTGGTCCTTCATTTTTAATTAAAGCGCCTACCTGGGCGTGTGTTTCTTTTTTGTTGTTTTGTTTAAGTGGCGGGTAAGGAAAGAAGCAATGATGGGACTTGCGCAGCTATACAAGAAATACTGCCTTCATGCTGAAGCTGGAAAAGACGCAGCGGAGAAAGTCAGCTGGATAAAGGACAAACTTTTGCACATCTATTATCAGAACAGCATCGATGATAAGTAAGTGGATGGGAATCTGCTCTTTCCCCAGAATAAAGTCACAAAAAGCAACCCGACCCTTCCATCCGTCCTTTAGTAGAGACCGGCTACTTGGCTGGCCGCTTACGTCTGGCAAATGCATGTTCAAATATCTGTGGAGATTCTGAGTCATCCAGTCATGTGCTTTTTCAAGAGGTCTTTCTTGTTTTTCCTTTGAAGACGTTTCGCTTCCCATCCCAGAAGCTTCTTCAGCTCTGACTGGATGGTGGGGGAACGGAAGGATTTATACTCCTTGCAGAAAACTAGTCATTTGCCTCCTTTCAGAGAGTCCTTGAGGCCACTTGGAGCTTTGTCTGTGTCCTCAGGGTCACCTGAGTGGTGCAAATGGGTGTGGAGCCTTCTGGGAACTGCTGAAAGGGAGGATATATACTCCTTGCAGAAAACTAGTCATTTGCCTTCTTTTAGAGAGTCGTTGAGGCCACTGGGAGGTTTATCTGAGTCCTCAGTTGTCCCAAAGGCTTTTTCAAGAGGCAACTGGACTTTCTGGTTTTTTCTTTGAAGACGTTTCTCTTCTCATCCCAGAAGCTTCTTCAGCTTTGACTGGATGGTGGGGAAATGGAAGGATTTATACTCCTTGTAGACAGCTGGTCATTTGCCTCCTTTTAGAGAGTCCTTGAGGCCACTTGGAGCTTTGTCTGTGTCCTCAGGGTCACCTGAGTAGTGCAAATGGGTGTGGAGCCTTCTTGGAACTGCTGAAAGGACTGTATTGTCAACAATTGCTCAGCAGTCCTACAACACAGTCCTTTCAGCAGTTCCAAGAAGGCTCCACACCCATTTGCACTACTTGGTAAACCTCCCAAGTGGCCTCAACGACTCTCTAAAACAGTGGTTCTCAACCTGTGGGTCGGGACCCCATTTGGGGTCGATCGGCCATTTCACGGGGGTCGCCAAGCAAGGCTGTCCGCCATTTTTTTTCCACCATTTTTTTTCCCCACCATTTTTTTCCCTTTTCCAGCGGGTGCCTTACCTCCCTTGGGCTGGGCCAGCTGGTGGCCGGCCTGCTCAGTCTCTGCCGCTTGCCAGCTACACCTCGGCAGGTGCAGGGGGCAGAACCACGCATGCGCGGCGTTCCCGGGCAGGGAAAGTCCTCGACTTACGACCAGTTGGGTAGTCCTCGACTTACGACCGGTTTAGTCCTCGACTTACGACCGGTTTAGTCCTCGACTTACGACCAGTTTAGTCCTCGACTTACGACCGGTTGGGGTCACGGCATTAAAAAGGTTGAGAACCACTGCTCTAAAAGAAGGCAAATGACCAGTTGTCTGCAAGGAGTATAAATCCTTCCGTTCCCCCACCATCCAGTCAGAGCTGAAGAAGCTTCTGGGATGAGAAGTGAAATGTCTTCAAAGAAAAACAAGAAAATCCAGTTGTCTCCTGGAAAAAAAACACGTTTGGGACATATTCAAATATGTATTATGGGAATGGATTGCTTCCTCTTGGCCTCTTGGCCTTGCAGACCTTGCTCTGTCGTATGCCCGTGTATAGGACAGCTTCCCTTTTTAAAAAAGCTTAACGTATTAAACTAAAAGCAGGTTTCAACGACGCCTGAATTTATTTTCCTTTGCAGATTGCTGGTGGAGAAAATCTTCGCTCAGTATCTCGTTCCTCACAATTTGGAAACCGAAGAGAGGATGAAATGCTTATATTATTTATACGCTAGCTTAGACCCAAATGCTGTTAAGTGAGTATGACTTTTGACGGCAACAACGGCTACCTTTTTTAATCGGTTTCGCCACTGATATTAAATATTCCCGTGCCCGGACATTTAAAGTGAAATGTCTTGTAGCTCAACGGAGTTCCTTCTCCGGTGTGATGGCCAGATTGTTGAAGTCACTCGCTCGATTGGATATTCAGTAGAATTGATAGCTTATTTTAGACTTGGGATGTTATGTATTTATCCCTGTACTCAGTTCTGGGAAGTCCGGGGGGGAGGGGGGAAGGGGATGAAGGGGTAGAATTATAAAAAAATTGGGTGTATTTATAAATATAATGTAAATGTTTGTCTTTAAGAAGAGGAGATGATCGGCTAGTACCCCTAAACTGCATCCGAGGTGGTGGAAAAGAAGGTGATGGGATGTGTAGGATAGTTGGAAAGGAGGAAAGAGGAGAGGTCGTGGTTAAGAGGGGGAGGAAGGAGAGAGAAGTAGGTAGGAAGGTTGAGGGAGTGTGGATGCAGGGGGGGGGGG